AGTCAATACCAGATAGCTGAATATGCAACACAAGGGTAGAGACCCGAAGCAAAATTGCAGGGATTCATTCACACGGACGAACCACTGTAGCGTGATGGCACGCACCAGCGGACAATCAACTCGTATCTCTGATTGCACGCCGTACGTTTATTATCGCGTTATCCTGTGCCAGTGAAATTCCGTGTAATCGTTCATTCATGCTGCGATGATAATCGGTCCGGCGTCCATTAACGAAGCCGTTGGAGGCCGTCTGCTTCGGAACGACCAAGAGAAACTGAAAAATGAAAAGTTAAACAACTTTGAGAGATTTTGCGAAAAACTTCGACGACCAGGGATTTTTAGCTAAAATTCGTAAACTCGTGCTGCGCAAAATTCTCGCGCTTGACGGATGACGTAAGAGAGTTTCGCTCGTTCCCTTTTTTGCCATCGCGACAATTTGCACGGCGGTTTGTTTCATTATTAGCACGGGCGCGAATTAATTTTCGCGGGCAAGCAGGAAGGAAGGCGTAATTCAACAGTGGCTTTCTACTGGCGATGCAATTTACTCTGGAATTGAAATAATTAAAGCCATTCCTCCCCCCCCCCCCTCCCCTCCCCCCTGGCTCGGGAGCGGATGATTGTGCGAGTGTATTTTCAGCCGGAGGAGGAAATGCTTGGCTAGTTACGGCATCGCCGCCGACATTCTGAATTTCGTTTTCGTTCCCGGGTGAGTCCTCGGCGATTAGTCCCCGGTGGATTAGGATTCGTTAGACCGAAATTAGTGTCATTTCCCACCGAGTTATTGCAAATTAGTTCTTCACTTTCTCCCTCACGAACTTTTGCCGTTACAATTTCTTCCTTCTCTTTTCTGTTCTGTTCTGCCTCCGAAATTCGTTTCGTTCGAAGAGAGAAACCACGAGAAGCTTCGAATTAACATAATGATTGGTGGACGGAAATCCCGAGGAATCACACTAAAGACACTCGTCCTGTATGAGAAACGGTGACACGGCGGTGCGGCGTTAGGGGCGTTAGTGCGTGTGCGAGGTGTACACGCGAGTACGTCAACGACAGTGAAACGGAGTCGCGAACCGACAGAGGAAACGGAGGATTTGTCACGAAGGCAGTTTGGTTTAACTGATCTCATCCGTCTTGTCGCGGACGTGGCGACGATCTGGTACTTGTCTTCTCGTCGTTGTTTCGACGTGAACCGAGCAGCGTCGCCGCTTCATTGTGTGCTGCGATGACTCCGTCTCTCCGCCTCTTCCTCGTCCTTCACCGAGCGAATTGAATCGTCTCGCCGATCCCAATTGGTCAATGATCCCGGACTTTTAATTAACCCGAATGTGTTCAACGCTTATGAGTTGTTGATTTGAAATACACGTCGTAACGTTCAAGAGAATAGCATCGTTGCGATGTGATTACGATTTGTGAAGCAATAAATAAATATGTAATTCGTAAGCTAGAGCTTGTATGGAGTTTAGAGCGTGTACTGGAGTTTAACCCCTTACGCTTTAATTCGTCGTTTTCTTTTTCTTTTGAACTCGTCGGTATGATATCACTGGATAGAAATTATTCACAAGTAATAAATTTATTATTTGTTTTGCCTATTTTGTTTTACTTAAATATACTTAAAACTGAGAAAATATTACAATTTTGGAGGTTAATTACTTGCGCCGGCAACTGATTGCGGACCATAACGAGTGACCGAATCGTATACAATTTAATTCGTCGCTTTCTTTTTCTTTTGAACTCGTCGATATGATATCACTGGATAGAAATTATTGACAAGTAATAAATTTATTATTTGCTTTGCCTATTTTGTTTTACTTAAATATACTTAAAACTGAGAAAATATTACAATTTTGGAGGTTAACCACTTGCGCTGGCAACTGATTGCGGACCATAACGAGTGACCAAACCGTATACAATTTAATTCGTCGCTTTCTTTTTCTTTTGAACTCGTCGGTATGATATCACTGGATAGAAATTATTGACAAGTAATAAATTTATTATTTGTTTTGCCTATTTTGTTTTACTTAAATATACTTAAAACTGAGGAAATATTACAATTTTGGAGGTTAACCACTTGCGCTGGCAACTGATTGCGGACCATAACGAGTGACCGAACCGTATACAATGATTCGTCGCTTTCTTTTTCTTTTGAACTCGTCGGTATGATATCACTCGAAATAGAAATTATTAAGAAATAATGAACTTATCATTTGTTTTACTTATGTTATATTTAATTATACTTAAAACTGAGAAAATGTTGCAATTTGGGACCAAAAATTCTCGACGTGCGTGGCATTCCAGCGCAAGAGATTAATGTCTTAGAATTGGTTTTAGGAAAATAGGCAGTTTGGTTCAAATACGCGGCGAAACCTTGCGAATTCCGAGTGCACGCGCGTGTCACGTATGTCACGGCGCGTGGTGTTGTGCGTGGTGGATGTGCCTAACTCGAGAAATGTATGCCATTAAGATGACATTTACAAACGTTGGACTTTCTGCGTCCCACGCGGCGCCATAAGCAGCCCCGATCGTTACGTCACGAGTTTTATATTCCCTTAATACGTTCCTTTTTCTCTTTACTTTTCTCTTCTCAGACGCGAACGTCTGTTAATCACAAGCGTCCCGCAGATCGATAAATTCCTACGTTTGAACGAAAATGTTACGAATTTGTCATCGGACGTACGGAAACGCAAAATTCTTCAAACTTGACTCTTTTCGCAACGAATAATGGGGAGAACGCGAGAACCCATATGTAGCTGCTGATAAAGCATAAACGCATCGACTCACGGTGTGCTCGACGTGTTGTTTTCCTCTCTTTTCTACGTGTGTTGAACAGTTATGTATTTGCTACGTTAGTACGAATGCGCGCGCGCGCATTAGTTGGTCCGGTGTATTTTATGCTCGCGCGGTGCACGTTAATCGACTTTTGAACACACGTTTTCCGAGCGTGTGATTTAGCACGAATGTTACTCGAGGTTCGACATTAATGGTTCCGACGAAAAGGAATACATTAAAGCTTAAGATATACAAATGCATGCAGGGGTAGAATATCGGTGCAACTCCTTGCACAACAAGCAACGCTCGAGGTGCTTAACTACGCTAACAAGAGCTGAGTAATTGTATCGGTTCCTCTACTCTTTGCTTTGTCCGTGATTTTTATCATCTTTCTTCTCCGTCGATCGATCTATTTCTCTTTAGTTATTGGAAGAAGAAGCGTTACGCTAAATCCGAATTTAGCGGTTCGTTTTTCGACAAGAGTGATTCTCACAGAACGCACGACAGAAAGAACGATATATATACGAACACTTACGTGCACTTATGTACATTTACGTTGCGGGATGAAATAAATAGGCATCCCGGAAAGGAAGAATTCCCAAAATGGGAATTCGCAGATGCGGAGTTTAAATCAAATGCAATTGGTCGCCACGTAAAGCCACTTCCGTGCCGACTTTTTTTCTTTTTTTTTTTTCTTTTCTTCATCGACTTTAGAATTGTATTAGACAAAGCTCTGTGTCGTTCATTTGGCCGCGACTCACCGTTGTCGTGCACGTGCAAGAGTTTAACTCGTGCGAAATTATTCAACGTGAACGATTATTCCGGCAATGGTCTCGAAAGCAGGATGCGCGCCGGGTGGTTTGTGCCGATTCCCCTTTCTCTAGTACAGTTTGGCCGCGTTTACACCCGGAGGTGGTAAGATCCCCCTGATATTTTCGCTCCCTTAAAGGCTCCCTTCTTCTCCTTCGCTCTCTCGTTCTATCCCTATCTCGCCATATTCTTCAACGAGGGATACACGAAAGTTCACTTTGCACCGCGTGTCAAAGATTCGCGGTAACCCGCCGCCTTCGGCCGTTCCCCGACCGGGCTTTAATTGCTTACACGATAAACGGACGTCAAGGAAAGTCGTACACATTCGACGAACATTCCACCCTTTCTCGGGACAAAAAAAAAAAAAAAAAAAAACAATTGTTGACTTTCTTCGTTGACTTTCCAGTAGGATGAAAATTCCTTCGATCGTACACTTTTAATAGACACCCTTTTGACAAAAGAAAAAGAAAAAAAAAAAATTGTCGACTTTCTTCGTTCCTTCCAGCAGGACGAAAATTCCTTCGCCGAGCTTTTCTCACCGAAAAGTAGTTGAAACACATCCGGATCGAAACGAAGAGTTGGAATCGTTGCTTCGGCGATTCGAAGATCGGTATTACGGATACACGTATTCTTTATTATTTCTAATACTAATTCATCGTTGTATCTCTATACAATATCAGTCACGATACTCTTACTTGATTCTAAAAGATGACCGATCTCTCGATACGTTTTTTTCTTTTTCTCGGTGAAAAATGACTAATTGTCGTACGTCAATAAATCGAAAGAGGATTAATCGTAGAATAAAAAAATTACTGGAAATATGCCTAAGCGTCTGCGATATATTATTGAATTTAAGGGCTACTTAACAAAATATTTATTATCGTTTATGTTAACAATTTTCAGGTTCAAATATTGTAGTTCTTCAAATGTCCGAATATTTTTGCCACATTTTGTTACATTTCGACATAGTTTAGTTTATTGTTTGATATTAAGAAAAGTATGTGCAATAAATAAATAAAATTTATGTTACGATAAACTATAATAAATGTTCTACTATTATTATTAAAAAATTAATCCAAATTTACTATTATAAACAATCGAAATCCTCAACAATATTTTGAAAAGCATGACGTCCGAATATTAATAAGAGTCACTGTACGTAGAAAATGAAAAATGTGTTTTCGTCAGTAAAGCGGTGCCGTACCGGTATTTTTACCGTTGTGGACATTAAATACCGATAAAATACGTATGAAAATACCGGTATGATCGTCTTATACCTGATTTCCTAAATAGTGATTATATTACGATAATATGGGAGCAAATACCGGTATGACACCTAAACCTTAAAATATTTCATTTTTCAGTCTCTGATCTCACCAGAGGGAGATAGATTTGGAAATAATCGGTCACTTTTCTTATTGTTTCAGGTTTTGTGTCGTGTTCGCCGAGTCCCTGCAAGAACGGAGGAGTCTGTGTGTCGTCGCCGCGCGGCGAGTCGCATTGCAAGTGAGTGCACAATGTTCCCTCGTTCTTTCGTCGCCGAAAATTACACGTTGGCCGCGCTGCTTTACGAATCGGGCGTCGTTTAACGTGCTTGTCAGGGAATGACGCGGGTTCGATTGTTCCGCAAGCGACAAACCAAGCTCTGTTCCAAGCTTATCTTCCTCCCTCTCCTCGTACACTTTTGATAACGATCGACGATCAAAGAGAGAAGGAGCAAGTGGAGAAATGTAAGATAGAAGTGAAGTGTAAGATAGAGAAGGCCGAGTCGAGAGAACCGGACGTTCCTCCGCCTCCCACGCGAAAAGGGAACGTATAGGGGAAAGAGAGGCAACGTTCAAGGAAGATGAACTTCGCACTCGATACTTTTGTTTCCCCGAATCTCATCGATTTTGTACCGCGACGACGCGAATTTGTAAATTTTCACTTGTATTTCACCCAATCAAGTGAACTTCGACGCGCTACTATTATTATTTTAACAATGAAAACATATGTATTTATAAATAGTAAACATATAACAATAGTAAACATATAACATTAGAAAAAGATAATTATTAACAAACAGTAATATTTGTAAGTGTATTATTAACATAATTATTAACATTTTATGAGCCTGTTTGCTCTAAACCAAATTATTTATGTCGTATGAGAATCATCGAATTCGACATCGGTTCTTATTAATTAATAAAATTAAATAGGCATATATATTTTTTGGGCAAACTTTCTGAGATTTAGAAAAGCTTCGGAAGATAGAGCTTCTTCCAAAAATTTATCAAGTCAGCATCTTTTAAAAAATTATGGGAAATTGATCGTGACGACATATTGACTAAATTCTGAAAATAGCTGAGCTAACTATAATATTTTTCCATCTTGTATTAGTTTTTTCACTTATTATCAAAATCAAAATTTGCGCAATGTATGATGAACATGATAGAACAAGCATAGCTTACTTTAGTAGTCAGTGTCTCTTTTTCCTCGTTTTCGAGAAAACGACGCAAGCTCGCGTTCGACCGTGTACGATTTGATGAAAACGAAATAACGCTCGGGCTTGCATCAATACTACGTAATATCGAGAGAATAGCATGAGACGGTACAAAATGAGATGTACCGAGATGAGTCTCGATCCGGTAATAGCGGTAATAGTCGTCAGTCGTGACCCGGCAACGCATGTAAATTGCCTTTATCAAGCTCTCGTAGGTTTCATCTTTGTATCAGTCGGTTCGATGTCTTCGATGCCTGAACGCGTAGTCCTCTCGCGACTATGCAAATGAATACTTGGAATTTTAGGAATTTGTAACATCGAGCGAGCTTTAAATTCGACAGAATGTGCCTGTTTTTAATGTATAGAGGTAGAGAACGCTTGCAAGTATTCGCAGAATATACATGTAACTGACCACATACAGTGAGCAACGGAAGTATTCGAACGACATGATAGAAAATAATTGATTATACAAAAATTGTATAATAAATTGCAATTTATTGAAACAATTGTTTTTTTTTTTTTTTTAGGAGACTTGAAAGAAATAACATAACGAGTAAAGATTCTTTAAAACAAAATATCCTAGTTGGGCGTCGCTCTATGGATTCAAGTGTTACGAAAAAGTTAGTCAATAGTATAGAAAATCGTCTTCGATCGAGGTGATTAAAGCCAATGGTGGCCCAACTGGATATTAAAATGCAATATAATCACACATGTTGCATTCTATCATGACTATTAAAATTGCGTTCGTATACTTTTGTTATGCCTTATATGTACTTATCCGTGAAAAACGTTATGTAATTTGTTTACTTAATTACTTTTTCTCTAACTTACAATTTGGAAAATGTGTATACAATAGTATAAAAAACTAAATTTGTTTCAATAAATTGCAATTTATTATACAATTTTTGTATAATCAATTATTTTCTATCATGCCGTTCGAATACTTTCGTTGCTCACTGAACATACTACACAGTTTCGTACACGGAGTTCTATTCTCCCACTGCTACCGAAGCTCCCGCATGAAATGACCATAATCCAATACAATAACAAATTTGGCTAGTGCCACTTGACAATACGGTGAATTAAAACTGCCGCTAACGGACGGAGGATTCTGCACAATGGGGCGGAAACCACCCCTTGGGCGATCACGTTCGCTCGTATGTACGCGCGTATCCATATGTGCACACGTGTGTCTCTGCGCGCTGTCCACGCGGATATTATTCACTTGCACAGCTACATGTTTACGCGGACGCGGCGTTACACGTGCGCGTAGACAGGTCACGTGTGCTGGCACGTGACCCCCATAGATTTTCCATTTGAAGGGAATGTCTCCCGTTATGGAAAAGGGTTCGTTTGAGCAGAAAAACAATATTGTTTTTCCATTCCGGTATTTTTCACAACAGAGGGCAGTTTCTTTGATATTTTTCAAAGATACTTTTCTTTTTTCAGAGCTTGTCGAGTTTCTTCCCTCGCAAGGAATGAAACAAATGGAACTTTCAGACAGTGCAGACTTTTCGCTACAGCGCGTTGCCACAGCACGAAATTGCACATTTCCGTTCTCTTTCAATGTCACAAATCTCCTCGCAGGAGATCCTTCCATTGGTGCGCGCAGCTCGGGCTTCTAAGCGCTCGGGCGCATTGCGAATTGATGCGTGCCATTAGCGGCAATCTTTGCATCATCTGTCCTGTCCGGAAGTGTTCCAACGTTTGCTCCGAAGCGTGGTTTCTGACGCGCGTTCGATCGAACGATGCAGATGGATCGCGACTATATTTCCTACCCCGGTGCTTCGCGTAAAAGTCCGATCGACTCTGCGTGATATTACTTAGTTGGAATATATATAAGAGGGCCGTTCCGCTTTGTGCCGAGATAAATCGCATAGTCGAAGCTCGAGGCCTTTGTTCTACGAAGTGAATGGACCCCGAGGAGACACGACACGATCGACAGAGGATGACGAAGGTTGCCGCGCGCTGTCAAAATACCCGTCCTTTTTCTTCGCGAGTATATCCTCACAGAGACCGCGCCATTCCACATTATCGTATAACTGAAAGAGGCATCTCTCGTTCTCCTCTCTCGGCCGTGCGTGCACACGCACGAACCACGCGAAGCCGGACGACAATGCACGCGTGTGCACGTACAATTTACTCGCGGCCATTTATTCCGGTACACGACGGTTCTATCACCAGCGTCGATCGCGGGCTACCGGCCCGCGTATACTTTGACTTTTTCTCACTTTTACGTCTAGGAGATCGGTACGCATTAATGGGCACGCAGCAACGATCCGAGGCACATGCAGCTAGGTCTAATTTATTTTCCAATTACCCCGGGCTGCTTGCACCGCCATTTTCGTACTTGTCGTCGAGCTTGCCCGTCGAACAAATCTCGAGTCGAACGATTAGAACGCAGCGGCACCGGTGAATCGGATCGGCCTCGCATCGAGAGGCAGACAGACGTTCGTACGCAGACGCTCGCGTTTCTCTCTCTCTCGCTCTCTCTCTTTCTATTTGCATTACCGATCACCTAGATATTGAGCACCCCTGGACGAATAACTCCGTGCCCGCGGGGCCTTGGATCGTGCGCGCTCGGCCGTGATCGGAGATCCTCGCCGAGACACAGAGGGGGGCGAATTGAGCCCCAGGAGCGAGAGAACGCGCGTGGAAGGAAGAAAGGCAATAGAGCCTAGTGGGTACGAGACCGAGAGAGAGAGAGAGAGAGAGAGAGAGAGAGAGAGAGAGAGAGAGAGAAGGGCTGGTCGAATGGAACGAAAGAGAAGGAGGGGACACTGTCTGAACGTGAGCGCGCGTTCCCACGCCCGCCGCGCATGCGCCGAGTATCCTGGCCCCTCGTGGACCCCTCGGGGACCCCTCGGCTCCCTACGTCAGTAATCGGTTCTCTTGCACTTCCACACTCCTCTCTCTTACCAGCCGCGCGATCGAACCACCATGCTGCTCGCTCCGTTCCTCTGCGACCGCGTACCTCCTTCTCCCGCGTTCGTTGTTCTTCTCTCTTCCTCGTTTCTATCCCTCCTCTCTCTCTCTCTCTCTCTCTCTCTCTCTCTCTCTCTTGTTCTTCGACCCTCTTTTTCTGTCTCTGGTATTCTCTGTCTCTCACTGCCATCAGACATCCGCATAGATTCAAGTGCGGACGTCTGCCGTTCTTTCTCTCTGTCACGTTCTTTCTCCATACATCTCGTCCGGGAATAATATTCGTTTCCACCACTTGTCTCGACGCGGCGGCTCTAGCTCCCCCCGGCCGCCACGTTCACCTTCTCCTTCCACTTCTTTCGCCTATCAATAAGCTGCTCTAATTATCTCCGACCTGTTTGTCAGCGGACGTCGCCGATCAAAAGTGACATCGGTCACGTTTGAACGCGCCGCGTGGCTTTGCTTTCTTCTTTCCCTCTTCGTCGGACGATGTCACCTATTTTGCAATTTTACGACCAAGGAGATCAATTTTTACGTTACGTGCTCTCTTTTTCTTCTTTCGAGAGCAGTCGTAAATTGGACAATCCGACACTGGCCATACTTGAAAAGAATTATCTATGATTCACGACGTTTTATTTACAACGAGAGTTATTCCAGTTATTACCAAAGTACAAAAATATGATTATACGTGCGATTATAGCGTGATTCGGGATATCGAACTTGCCGATATATTTGGAATATTTGTAGAAGAGATCATCGTGGCCGGTGGAAGTAAAGGGTCCGGAGTGTTCAGGAAGGCAAATTTGAAAGAAACGCACGAGTAGAATAAGAGAGCGGTTCGCGGGATGTTTGCAGAACCTTCGGAACCCTCCGGAACGTGTTATTTGCGAATACCTACGAGACGATTTGGCTCGGTTCTCGTGAGAAGGCGAGCTTAAGGCTTAAGGCTCTGTAACTATTTCCACGGAAGGAAGACCGGGGAAAAGTTCCTTGGCTCGCGTCGAATCGTACCAGCCCACGATTGTTTGCCTTGGCGTGACGAGCAATTAAACGGTCCGTAGTTTGGATTCGCGTAAGTATCAGTTCCATCGGGAAATGCTGC